GCCGCTGCAGCAACTCCATACATGGGTCGCCAGCTCTACCGACTGAGCTAACCAGGCGCCCGATGTTCAAAGAATTATAATAAAAGTAGAGAACAGCTGATAAACTGTACAATGAACACAACGAATGAACACAATAACTGCAGGAAGTTTGTGTAAAACCAGTCATTTGGATGAATTTTGAGCAGATTATTTCCTGTAAATGTCAGAGATGAGTTTTTCTGATATTTTTAGGGAAGTTTTTATACAATTCTCTGTCTGTATGTGTGAATGTATATGTATTTATTTATTTTTAACAATCATACATATTTAAGAGGCTTTTATTTTTGACAAATCCACTGTTTCCTTCTCATTGTTCTTTTTGGATTTTAGAGAGTGAAGGCTCTGTGAATATAGTTGATCATAAATAATAATCTAAAAACAACAATTTAATTTAGTTTTCTTCACAGAAATGAACTAAATGTGTGACCTCCAGGTTGGTCCGCCACCGACACCAGCTGAGAACCAAATGTCAGTAAAATCCGTCTTTTTGGGAGATAAATTGGTGACAGTCACCTAACATGCACACATGTTGTTTAAAAAGAGATTTCTGTCGCACTTCTTGATGAATTACAAGCCTGATGTAATGTGATCAAGATTTAAACGAACAGCTAGAGAGAGAAAACGGGCTACGGTGAAACACACGGCTCGTTATTTACTCTCTGGCTTGATAGAAATTACTCTTGGCAGGTCATTTTTTTCCAGTTTAACAGACGTTGGAAGCTGAATCGAACATTTAATTTCAGGGGACGGCGGCGCCGGTGGTCACAGCTGAGAGACGACACCTATTGGGGGCGAGAGATGCGGGTCGAATCGAGCACCTTGTCATGTTCTGAGGTATACGAGCGACCCACGACGGCATTAACTTCTGCTAATCCACACAACGTACAGGCCGAGGTCTTTGTCAGCACGGCAGCTTTTTTAAAGCTCGCCTGTCAACGGTGGAGCTTTTTGATAAGAGGTCAGAGTTTCTGCAGGAGCTCGCAGGT